TCATTAAATTTTCTCTAGCTGTCTTCCATGTTCTGAGAGCTGAAACAAAGCTGTCTAAGAAGTGCAAAGATACTGAAAATAAACATTCTTCTATCTTGTAAATTAAAAGGATTTTAATAAGTAAAAGAAAAGTTGCTATAGGCAGTTTCTGGAACAAGCACACATTCATATATGCATTTTCTCCATTCCTTCCCTCTATTTTTTTTGTTTATTACTGAGGTGTTTAAAGTACAAATGTGTTCCTAGCATTAGATATGGCATAATCATCACTACTTAAAGCAGAAATATTCAGTGTGCGTTTGTCATCTTTCATTATTATATCTGAACAGTATTTATATTATCTTTACTGTTTCATATTTACTGTGTTCCAAGCACCCTAATGAGATACAGACCAGAGGAGAGATGGAAGCATGGCATATTTATTTGCTGTTAATCATTACTGGTTTTTAATCCTGGTCCCACCTTCTCTGTGGCAGTTTTCCCTGGGTGGAAAGAGGCTGGTGACTGAGGGACGTGGGGTTGTGTGTGCATGAAATATGGGATGTGGTCTGATGAGGGCTAGCGTTGCTCTCCCAGACAGCTTATGACCCTTGCTGAATGCTGCCAACACCTGGTCCTGATCCTCTGGGATTGGGAGACACAGCCAAGAGCCTGCAATAAAAAACACCAAGCAGTAAGGAGCAATCCTGCAGCCAGCCAGGGCGCTGGGTGTTGCCAGTGTGCCCCTGGGCTGCCTCAATGGCAGCAAGCCAGCAGACCCAAGGGCAGCTGCATGTCCTGGCTCAGGGGCAGGACAAGGCTTCCCCAGGCAATGCCTTCTCCTTCAGGTGATGGCAGAGAAGGGCCAGATCATGTCAAAAGTAACTGAGCATCAAAGTCACACAATTACTAAAAATATCTTTACTTTAAAGAGAACCAAATCAGTGCTCCCAGCTCCACTGTAGGGTCTTAAACCAATACATGCCATTGCAGCATAGGATTTTGTGGATTTTTTTGGCATGGGGAACTAGAAGCATCCAGTTTCATCTGTACTTCTGGATTTAATGAGGAGGCTGATGGTACTCCCTTTGCCCATCACAACACCAGGATGAACTCCTCAGTGACTTTAAATCCATCCTCTGGATGCCCTTTCCTCATGACTAGAGTGAAATGAGGCAATAATCTCATGTGACTTGCATATCACACAAAACTTGCCGGTGAGGTTAGAGACCTCTGCAGCTGATTTAAGCCTGTTGGTTCTGGGTTGTTTCTTCTTCGTACACTGCATAGAGGTATGCTGCAGACTCACAGGGTTGGAAACTGCTGAAGTAGGTGAATATTGGAATATTGATGCTGATTTGAAGAAGAAACAGTCTGCTCATGCACTATGAGAGATACAAATATGAGCAAACAGAATGGTTGTATGACTTTATTTTTCAAACTCTGCTAGTAGTGATACATTCTAAATATGGTATTTTGGGCTCAGTTCCTAATGAGATCCCAGATATGGCAGGCATCTCAGCAATAAGAACTAAAGCTGATCAAGTGAATTTTGCATAATTATGAACTGAGATCTCAAAGAACATAGTGCATGTCACTTATGTCCCACAGGTCAGTACAAACTGATAACACAGGCAGATATCGGAGACCACAGAGAAAATATCATGTATGAAAAAGCGTGATGCAGAGCTGAGCTGTGTTCCAGAGAAGGAAGCAGTTAGATTTATGGGCTTGTACATTTGTGCTGTTAGTGTACCTATTAACAAATGAGGTAGATTATTCCTACTAGGCATCTTAAATTTCTTGGAAAAATGGTTCTCTGGATATCTGCGAAATTAAGTTGTCTTTTCCTTATCAGTAAGGAAAAATAACACAATCAAAATATTTTGGACAACACTTCTGTAGAATCTAGATAGCAAAATGGCCACTTTGAGTTTGGATTTGACAGCCTGATATTGGCATTAGCCCAGAAAGTTAAGTCATCTGCTCTTCTCCTGCTCAATACTACAGCTATGTGTCTGCACGTAATGTCCCTACAAGGACAGTAAGCACTCACACTTACGAAGCTGTGAGCCAAATGAAGCCCCAAAGGCTATTTAATTACCTAAATTCTTAAGTGCTGTGACTGATTTTCATGGAAGTCAGTAGGTTTAATTCATTATTTTAGTTTCCTTTTTTAATATTGCTTTAAACACATTTTATTGTGTTTTGTTCTATTTTCTTGATGTTTATTTCTGTATTTCCAGTTGAACTGTCCTTAAATAACAGATTTAATTCACTTAACAGATTTGATCACACCAATAAAGGTGTTACATTCAAAATGTTATTTATGGGTGAAGAAGAAACACCTTATAAAAGTCAATAATTTATTATTAGGATCATTTAATTTATATCAGTGTAATCCAGTAATCATTATTAGTTGATCTAATAATTACAAAAAATATTTCTGTGCAGAAAAATTTCAGTAGTAATAAGTGTCAAAACTGTTATACACACACTTTCTAACTTCCACTGCTTTTTTCTGGTGTTTTACCCACCCTCCTCCTGCAGGTCCTGAAATGGGCAGTTTCAGTCTGTTGGGAGTCAGTGGGGGCATTATGGCATGTCATTGGCATCTGGAGTCCTTTGAGAAGGTTATGATAGCCATAATTTTTCCTCACTCTAGGATCTACTTGGGGACACTTATGTTTAAAACACACTTTTAAACCTTGCTATTTCTTCATTGATCTGAAGCTCCACGTTGCAGCCAGGTTTACTATACATAGTGACTTTCACTTATGTTAGATACTTTGTTACCCCTAAAAGCAGTTTTGTCCAGCCCCAGATCTGCATTCCTTTAGGTGTGCACTGGTGACTTGTTTATAACTCTCTTGCAATGGCAATACCTTTTTGTGGGGCTACAGGGTAACAGAGGTCATGATACAATTCAGGCATGCTTCATACGGTATGGGGTATATATGTAGAAAATATGAAATGATGTACAACTGAAAGGTAATCATAGTTTGGAGTGTCCAATAGGTCTTTCTAGTAGGCTCTCTGCTCACTGTCTGTTATAATGTAAACAGTAGAACACTGAGGTTGGATTTCTGTTTTGCTTTTGTTTTATGAAATATTTTCCAGTTTCAGTAGTTGTTTGCTGAGACAATACAGTAAATTGCACATCTGATGGAGTTGGCATTCTAGTTCCTCAATATAAGGTAATATTCATACAGATCAGAAAAAATTATCAACTTCCTTATAAAACTCTCTTGCAAGGACACAGTCCAATACAAAATTCTGTACAGTGGAATTTTATCTGTAAATCAGGAAAAGGCACAGTAGGAGCACTGGGGCCAACAAGGCAAGGAGGCTGGATTTATAGTCTCATGTTTACTTATTTCTAATGCAGAGGCCACAGCTCACTATTTGTTTATCTTCAGGAATATGTAATGCATTTCTTCCTATCGATTGCTGGGTGAGAGTATGTATGACTTAACATGAGACACCAGTCCAGAGATGTATATTAGATACTGTGAACTGAGAGCGTAAACCATAAAATTTTTATCTTTGAGCATTTTTTGAATGTCTGCTGCCTGCAAGGGGATGGTTGCAGGTGCAGTGTAAGGGATCGTGCAGCTGGGCACTTATTACCATACCTCATGACTGGGAGTGCATGCATCACATTAGTGATAAGGCAGAGGAGAGCATCCTTATTTCCCTTATCTTCTGCATCTGTAAACAGGCACTTTCTGTATCAATGTGAACGCTGAGAACCAGGTAGGGAGGTTCAGGTTTTCCCCTTGCTTGTACTCCTGTTAATCCATTTAACTCGGTATCACAAAGAGTTAGCATAAATCAGCTGCTGTTGGTGTTTGGACCATGCTATTCCCTGCTGATAAAACTCTTCAGTTTCCCTTCTGCTGTAGAAAATGCTGGAGCACCTAGCAATTCTTGGAAGTTCTATATAGTGATTTATCTTTCAGAGATGATTCTTAGTTTTAAATAACTTCTTTTCATTACCCTGGCAGGAAACTTTCCAGCCTTACACAGCTGAAAAAAACAAATGAAACTGGTTCTCTTGGAGAGATGGCTGCGCTGGAATAATTTTTGTGTGAAGGAAGCATAAGTCACTCAGAGTTCCTCACATTTCAGATTCCTTTATCTTACTTTCAGTAATTCAAGTGCTTGTTGCACTAACCTGTGAGCTACAAATCCAGGAGTATGCATGGGAACAGGGTCAGTATGTTTTTAAGAGCAGATCACCAACAGTCTGCAGTGCACAGAGTAAGCACTCTGTCAGTAATCATACTGGTTCTAGCACTATTGCTAGACTTTCAGTTTTTGCTCTAATGAGCCATGCTATTATACCCATTTTCAAGTGGCTGATGGTGGGTGCAGATAACCAAGCAAAAAATTCCTTTAAATGCAACTCCTCCTCAGCTGGGTTATCACATGCTACCAAAATATGCGTAATGATAGGTAAAAGCTTCCACGTTTCCAGCATTACCTTGTCAGCTGAAATACTCTAGTGGAGAAAACTGCTTGGATTGATTCAGGCATATTATACTGAAGGACCTGTACTTGAAGGGTGTGTTTGTTTAAATATATTAAGGCCAAATATAGAAAACACTCTAGAATACATATATATGAAGTATTTGAAAGGGTCCAGTCGTCTTTGGCAATTTTGTACCTGTAAACTGTTTGCCAAATTAGTAACAGAAGTTGAAACTAGTATTGCAACATAGGTATTGATATGCTTAAACTATTTTGTATTATCAGCTGGTACAGTGGGTTTAATATTATCATTCTGAAGTGAACTTTTAAACACAATTATGTGGAGCAGAGTAGAAATCTTATTGTACTATGTAATATAAACAAGATACTCAATTTCAAGTGGTTTGGTCAAATTTAAAAGTAAGAAAACCCAATAATTGGAGGCTTAAAAAGAGAACTGTCCCCTTTTTTAACTTAGGCCATTTTACAAGGGAAAAAATATACTATGAAAGCTTGTATTTAGGATCTTAGTTTTCTTTTTTTAACAGGACTGGGAGTTTCCACATTTTATGGGTGATGTTGAAGTGAATCTTCCAGGCTTGCCATCTGCACATATGCAGTTCAAAGTACCTTATTTCCAAAAGATCTTCAAAGAGGAATATCACATACATATCACAGGTATGTAATCTTACAGACTGTGACACAGTCACACAGTTAACTGCTTCTGTGTAATAAATGTATGCTAACATGTTCTTAACCAATACTTTGTGTGTGTCCCAGATTACTAATTTTTTCTATCCTTTTATCTGTCCATATACATATCATCCATCCATAAACATCTCAGGGAAATGAGGAACCTGTATCTTACAAATCAGAGACCTGCTGTTTTTCATGGATTTCAGCAACTTCTTGTGACACTAAGTAATACCTAATGTAGTTTCAGAGATCTTTCATCTAAAATTACTCTCCAGGGGAATTAGCATCTTATTTCATTTTCAAATCTCTTATGCTTTCAGATGCCTTTGCTGTGATTTATGCTAATATCTTTTCATAACTTCAGTCATTCTCATCTGGCAAAGGCCACTCATAACCATACTTCCATCAGTCATCTAACCAGAAGCAGACAGTTAAATAACCTCAAATAAAATAGAATTACAGTTATCCAAATGGATGGTACATATAGATAAAAAGTACCTGATCCTTGCATACTGTGAGGTAGTAGTTTAATAACAGCAGGGAATGAAAAAGAGAAGAAGGTTAAATAGGGATAAATATTTTGGTTTTACCTTCAAGCTATGCAGAAGGAGCACAGCTCCTCTCTCCCTACATCCGGAAGAGTTGGATAATAATGGAAAGCAAAAGAATGGTGTGAATTGACAGGGGTCTTTAACTGCTAATATAAACAATCACAGCACATGATACTGTACAGGAATAAGATAGATGAGGGTATCCAGTGAGACAGCCATATGAAACTCCTGCAGAGCAGGGGCAAAAGGAGCATTCAGCAATGATACAAAGATAAGGCCAAGAGCTAGTAGGTGAGTCACAAGCTCACCAGGCAGCAAAAGGCAAGGGAAAGAAATGTGCAGAGGAAAGCATGATGAACCTAGGACTCAGTTGAGATAGGCTGAATGAGGCCTCAGAAAAGGCATTGTTAGCAGAGAATGTAGAAATGCGAGTGATCAGATTAAAAGACAGAAAAGAAGAGAAAACTACCTGCTGGATATTGAATGAGGGAAGGCAAATGGGCCAATAAGTACAGATGGAGGGATGGAAAGCTTTCTTCAAAATCGGATGTAGGTGCCCTGCTGGAATACTGAGAGAGAACAGCCAGCCAGCAAGAAGAAAGAAGTGCTGAGACAGGACTGACTGAGACTATTTGAGCCACTAGTGGTTTGTGGAAGAGGATGAAGTAAACGATCTCATGGTCAATCACTAGAAGGTGTAGGGTGAGAGAGGATAGGATGTGTACACAATGAACACATTTTTCTCTCCCAAGTGAACAAAAAGGGAAAGGGGGGGGGGGGGAAACCAGAGTATAAGCATCAAATATTTGATGTGACTTACAGGCATGGTATTCAAGGGTAGTGGAAAAAAACCCTTTTTTTCTACTTCTCAAGGTTAGAGCATGAATTTGGAGGGGCTCAGTCCCACAAGGCTCCCAGATGCCCTGTAGTTATTCCATTGTATAAGGAGAAGTAGTGAATGGGTGCACAGAGGAACTTGAACAATAGCTGAGGTGTGGTAGGGTGGGCTGCAACATCAGGTACAGAAACTCAGGGTATAATTGATGTAGATGAAAAACAATGGGTACTAAAAGGGGGACTGAAGAACAAAGAAGAGTTTTGCATTGTAGAAGAGGCAGGGATATTGCTGATAATCAGGCAAGAGCAAAGAATAATCAATATCAAAGTACATAAATTAAGGATCAGAAATACAACTGCTAGCAGTGCTGCTGTTTGAAAACAGACTAACCGAGAGAAACCAATATTTATGCATTGAGGAGTGTTCTGCAGAGAGGACTGGAGGCCTTTCTAATTTTCTGGCAAGAAGGCATTCTTTTAATGAGGGTGAGCTAATGAATAGGGGCTGAGGAATATTTTTCCCTGCTCAGCATTAACAAGATCCATTTATTAGATTCACTAGACAAATCAATCCATTTGACTGCACGTCACGTACTCTATCTACTGAGTGCCTGTTTTATCTCAGTGCTACACCACCCTTTAGGAGATCTAATAAACAGCCATAACACATGGCACAAGCACCTCCCTTTGGGTAAGTCTTGCTTGAACCATCTGTTCTTACCATCAGTTCTTGTCTTAGGTTAGGGTATCATCTTGGATCATTTTCAAGCTCCAGTTTTTGTGTGGATGTGTAGGTAACTTGTAATTTTCTATTCAAATCAAGGAGCTAATAAAAGTGGTTCAATATATATAAAACAAGATTAATGTAATCCAGTCTAAAATTAGGGTAGAGTGATGCACAGGAATGCAACTGCAGGAGATGACATGGGGGCAGGACACTGATAATGGCAGGACACCTACTGTATTTAAGCCCTGTTTAATACATGGGATCCACAAGGTTGAATTTAACCATGGGACTTCTTTTTAGTAACAAGTAGGAAAAGAAGACTAAGGCCTGAGTATCTTTCATCTTAGTACTTGCTATAGGGATAAAGGTAGGCTGTAAATCTGACCTGTGCCTTGATTTTTTTGTAGAAACTGGAAACCCTTTTCTCCCTAGTAACAAGGAGAAAGAAAGCACAGCTGAAATAACATTTACCATCTTTTTCCTGACAATTTTTTTTCTTCATAAATTCTTTTACAGTTTGTTTTGGTCACTGTTGATTATAAGAGCAGTACTAGGACTCCCCTGAGCAGCCATGTTTGGTGCTGGGTTGCTCTAATGAGCCACGGTCCCACAAAGAAGCAGCTTAAGTAAAGGGACATTCAGAGGAATAAAGGACTTTAAACTACCTTTCTGTTAGTGTGTGCTTCATGCAAGTTCTGTACAGATGAAAGATTTCAGTTACATGCTCTGTGTTGTCTTAAGACTTGAAATTAAAAACTTCCCTTTTTTTTGGGGGGGGGAGATATTTTGTCTTAAAGTCTTAGCTCCTGAATTCAATGACTACATGAGAATTTCAGCTTTCATTCAGCTTTCACAGGAATAAAGCTTATAAATGCAGAGAAAAAAAATTCCTTCTGCATAACTCCATGGCTAAAAAAGCAGATAAATAAAACAGTACTAAGCGTATTATTTTTAACCCATCTTGCCACTTTAAACTAACATGCTTTCTTCGGCCTGACTTGTGATTTCTGAATGTTGTAAGTTGGCAGTAATATTGAAATAACATCTTCAGCCTGTAGCTGATATGTTTCAATGTAATTTTAAATTTACTATCAAAAGCATATCTTATTTTTACTGGTAACTGAGTACCTCATTTTGCTCAAATTTCTTTGCATCTAGGAACTGCTAGTGAGCATCTACTCAGTATTAAATATTTTTATTCTGTTTTGATAGCTGCTTTTATCTATGAACATCAAAAATAACTTGAATTCCTGCATCTGCTTAACTCATCTGTATTTCCCTTGACAGACGGTTCATTGCAAAGTGTGTGTTTTCCTCCTTGGACTGCTGTTTATGAAAATACATAGTCTATCCCAGTTTTATAATACCCAGGGAAATCTGTAAAACTTCAAAGTAAATTTTGTTACTTCAGATTCTTTCATGGTTAAAAGGCACTAGGGGGCCTGGCTGGTACCTTTAATAGCAGCACTGGAGATCCAAGAACATCTGTCAAGTATGTGGATAAGTTCCAAATAAGAAATGTTGAGTATCAAAAGAGATGGGAGATTTTTCTGGCTGTTTATAAATATGCTTCTGTGTGTTGATCTAGCCAGAGTGCCCTTCCACCCAAAAGAAAAATCTTCAACTTCATGGCTGGTGAGTGCCTAGCATGTCTGGCTTGTGGAGTTAAACCCAAAGTGTATCTAAATTCAGGCCTAGCATCACCTACACAGGGAAGCCTGAGGGAGCCCGTGGGCAAAAATAAAAAGGTTAGAGGTAAAAACAAAGCTGTCAGTGCACACAGATGTGAAAACCTCAGAGGAATTGTAACTTAGTTCAGCTGTGTGCATGTCTGTATGCATGTGTGTACCTAATAACATGAACATGACAGAAGATAAGAAGAATGTTTTGAAGATACCAGAATGTTTTACAGAGGTGTCTGAATGCTTTTGGATGAAAATCGCAATTGAGATAAGAGTAAAGTCAACATTTCCTGCTCTAGCCTTTTGGCTGTGGTTGCACAGCATGAAGCCACTTGAGTCTAGGCTTGAGTGGAATTTTCACATTTTCTCTTGACTTCAGGAGAGAAGCTGAGGACTGGCTTCTACACAAGATCTTTCTTTTAGGACATGACTGTTCTGTTACAGAGTGGACATACAAAAAGAAAATGCTCCAGAATCAGCAGCTGATTTGGAATATTTGGACCTGCAGGATCCGCCTCAGTTGCCCAGTATATCAGTTGCATGTGGGATCGTGTACGTGTTGCTGATCTTATATACCTTATCAGCCTCTAAAAATGGCTACTGCCCAAACATTTTATTCAGCTAGGGAAGAAAGGTGCCTTTCTGAAAAAAGGGGAAAGAAAAATCCGTACTACTTTCACCATAAAAATGCCCCTGGCATTCACATATAGTGCACAGCTGTTCAGTTTCAGTAGGAAAGGGAGTGTTTCTAAGCAGAGGCCTGTGTAGGCTGGTGTTCAGAGCATGGTCCTATGATGCCATAAATGGAGATTGTTCTTGGGTCAAGGTGTCCTTTCTGGTGAGTGCCCTAGCTGTGAGGATGCAATCCTCCTCAACATCCATGCTTTCTCAGAAAACAGGGGTCAAGTTTTCATCCCCAAATAGTAGTTGTAGGCTACGATGCCTAGAAAAACATTTCCCATTTTGCATCACAGTCTCACAAGGACACCTAGTGCATGCTCTTGGCTAGCCACATACCTCCACTTTATCTTTCGGGAGATCTTTATTGCACCAAATTTCAATATTGTACCATGTTTCCAAATACACCAAACCAGATTCCTGACTCTCCAGATGTCATGTATAGCATATAAGGATGTCAGTGCTATGAAAACCAGTTATTAACCAGGTCTTTGAGACGGTGCTTTGCTGAATGATATAGCCTATTTTACCACCTGATTTTCTTCATTGTAACTTCACTGAAAAGTGTTGGTATAATTCTCTACAGTTTGCTTAAATGATTGACTAGCCTTCCAGTCTCAAGAGCTGACCTTACTACATCCTTCCATTTTAAATTCTATCTGTGAAAAATCCACCTGCTCCAAGAAGGGCTAAATAGTGCCAGATATATGCCAGTATTCTTGGCCACACACCTCACTGGAGTAGAGCTAACTCTAGAGCAGTAGTGGTACTGATCCTACAAAAATTAGTTAAGAGACAAATTAAGTTTCTTCATAGTGTGGGGGTCCATTTTTCCTTACCACTTTTTATCTCAAATGAAATTTGAAGCACTGTAAAAGAAATTACAAATATATTTTTAAAGAAAGTTAATATCCATAGCTTTATAATGTATTTATTCTGACCCTTTGCAAAACTATAAACCTGAGCTTGTTTATGCGCAAGGTGAGAGTTCAGGAGTGAATTCTAATTTACCAAGCTTATTTCCTATATGAGACTGATATATGACTTAAAGTTTGCTATAAAAAGCATTATGCTAAAATTAAGTTGCAGTAGACAATCATTTCATATACATAGATTATACACATGTATAATGTTAAAGGTTGGTCAGTATAGTAAGTCTCAAAAATTACTTGTCATGGGGAATTATCATCAAATAGATGTTTCTGAGTGGAGACTGTCAGGCCTCTTGGTTAAGTTTGCTTCAACACATTTATCACTGACCTAGAAGGGTTGCTTAGTAAAATGGACTTACTTGGCTATCACATCTGCTAGTACAACAGCAAAGTACATGTCTTGGAACTGGGATAGACAGCAGAGGACACTATATTCTAGGAAGAGGTAAATACTTTCTCTAAGTAACCAGGACAGTTCTGACTCCCAGTCATTTTGTGCCTAAGGAGATGAATGCAGCCCTTGGCTACAGGGAATACTGAGTAGGAGTAGGAAGATGTCACTGTGTTCACATATGCTTATAGCAAGGCTGTTACTCATATACAGTGTTTGGTTCTGATGACAACAGTTTTAAAAAGAAAAGGAAAAATCATAGAGCTCATCAAGCGTGACAGTGATGCAGAGGATGGAAAAATTGTCTAGAAATGAGAAATTTAAGGAGTTTTAAGAAGATCCACTATAGAACAGAACCAGGTCTCAGGCAACTAGCTGCCACTTAGACTTACAAGTTCCAGTTCATCTTAATTATCTGGGGTGTCTGCATCTAAGCTGTTTGTCTAAGCACCCTTTATAGTCCACACTGACCGAGGGATACTAGCAGCAGAGCTTAGGGCTGTGCTCCTTCCTGCCTAGCTCTGTCTAGGAGCTGAGTGAAGGAGTTTCAAGTTCATGCCTTTTATAAAACAGGAATAATTGATATGTATATCTCTCTTAGATCTGGTGAGCACTCAAATTCTTAACATAAGAGGGGGGGAGCCTTTTTTAGACAGATCCATCTGAGAAGCAATTCACCATTATGAAACCGCAGTGTAAGACAGATGCTACATGAAGCCTGAGATCAAGCACCTGGCTACCTCTATTCAGCATTTTTATTGTTTTCTGCTAGCTTCTTAGACAGCTTCTTCACCAGCAACAGGCTGCCATCTCAAGGCTTGCCCCTTAGGTGACTTGCTCTACATGTGTCACATTTAGGATAATGTGGTCACACGCAGGTGAAATCCAATTGCTGTAAAATCCACAGGGTGCCATCATGCCTAAAGAGCGGGGAGGTCATACCTCAACATTGCAATGTCTGTTTGCTCAAACCTACAATCAAGAAAACCATATTTTGGCCTTTATAAAGGCCATCTCAGTAACACCCCCATTTCATTATGCTTGGTATTTTGATCTTTCAGTTGTTTGTTTTCTCCCTACACATATTCACTCTTGCCATGTCCAGCTGAGGGGAAAGAACATTATTGGCCCTGCATGAGTTTTTCCCCTTCCTACCATCCCTAGATTCTAGCAGATCTCTCTAGAAAGTCACCTGTCTTGGCTCTACAGAAACACAAAGTACCACTGATAATATTTTGATGAAACCAATAACAGTAGAAGTGGAAGGGTTTTTTGGATGGGCTTATGATGCATTTTCCTGGGAAAAGAATATGGCTTGAGGAATTAACTTTGGGGCAATGCAGAAAGGGGTTGCTTTCAAGATGAAACACAAAGTATAATTTGATTACAAATCATTGTTTAAAAAAGTATCCAAGTGAACTACCAACACAAAGAAAGGAAGTTTAGCATGAAGTATGTGATATTCTCTCCCAAACTGACCATAGATAAACATATTTCTATATATTCTAATATTTGTTTCATTGTAGTTTGTGTTCAGCCTCCTTTCCCAAGGAAATGAGAAATGTGATCATGTTTTCAGTGTGGGTTGATCTCTCTCTATCCAACACTCAGCATCAAATAATTTCTGAACCTACGGCCAGTTTCATAAACATTTTTCAGAGGGTGGGAATCTGAAAAATAGTCACATTATCATTGTGTCCTAAAAAATGGTGGTTAGATAAAGGAGAATCATCTAAGTTAGTGCCCACCTGAGGAGAAAGCAGGGAGAAGTCAGCCATTATATATTCTGTTTGACAGCAGCCAACTGATCAGTATGTGTGTCCCAGCCAGCCCATCAACACACACTATGCAGAATATATTCTGTCCCTGTCTGTTGAAAGGCCATACATAATGGGGAAACTAGGGTTATTCTGATGAAAACACATGAAATACAGGGCAAAAATCTGCAGCAAACAGCATCAAGCTAGATTGTGTTGCTTGTTACTGTATTTCATCTTTTAGCATCACTCAGTGTCTCGGGGTTGACTTAAGAACTTTAAATATTATAAAATGTGTGGTAATCTTCTAAAACCATAATTTTCCTTAACAGGTCAATTATAATATTGATGAAAGCCTAGAAAAAAAGATAGAGTTATTCAGGAATTATGTGAACAAGACTGGCTGCAAGATCTTTTCAGTGCAGTTTGATTTCTGGATGGTGATAATAACATGAGAGAATGAACATTCCTGTTCATTTTCAGTCTTAAGTATAATCTAGACTGAAAAGGACTATTAAACACAGTTGCTGAAATACAAGGAGTTACCCTCCTTACCTTCACAGAGAATTCTGGTCTTACAATTCAAACATTTGACTTTCAGGAACTGGAATCCATTTATTCTTTACAAGCCAACAGCATAAGTAATTTGATAGATGCTCTGATGCATCCATTTTCTTTTTCACTTGAAACATACTTAAATACAATTCTAGCACAGGCCGGTATTATTCATCAACATCAGGAACATTCCTCCATGAATGTTCTTTCAGATAATGCTGACACGTAGATTCGATGGGTTCTTTGGTAGTGCCAGTCACCACTGCACAGGTAAGACCTTAACATGTATCCAGCTAGAATGTTAGAGATGTTTTGAGTATGAAAATAGTGTAATTTCTTTTGTGTATCCATAGAATAATTCAGGTTTGAAGGGACACATGGAATTCATCTGTTCCAACACCCTACTCAAAGCAGGGCCAACTTTGAAATTGCATAAGGTTATCTTTAATATCTTTTGGATGCCTGGAGGAAGCATGCAAAAGACCAATTTTAAATAATAAAAGGAGAAAGGTTTCCTCCTCCAGTATTGCAGGAGCTTAATGTTAGACTATGAGTCGCTCCTTGGAGGAGTTTCTCACTTCATGGACTGTAGGAAAAGCTAAGCTGACTAGACTCCCAAGACTACAAGCAGTCCTTGCTGTTTCTGGAGGGTATAATATCTAAATCACAGTTTATCCAGTTGCCCCCACCTGAATATGACAATGCACCATGGTTAGTATATCAAACAATATCTCTCTCTATATATATGTACTCTTTAAATTAACATAATTGCCAACCCTAAAAACTTCAGCCACTTCAGTCATTCCTAGAATATAAATAATTCCATTAAATATGGCCTTTTTGTGACAAACTTCCATGTGAATATTTTTTAATGAAATTAATACGTTTTTAGGATTATTGATCTATGCCACATCACCTGGTGGCCTGATCAACAGGCCACCTACAAATTGCAATGTGAATTCAGTTGATACACTGCTGTGGTTGTGTTAGAAATTTATTTATTATATACTATGTACCCAGACCTAATTGTGAAATGCTAGAAGATATTCAACATAAATCTGACTGTAGTGGAAGTTTTATTACAACTTTGCTTTACAGATTAATAAAAAAAAGGTGGAGGGGTTTTTTTTTCTGAGTAGCTTTTACATATAACTGCATTGGTACTATTTCTGAAATGGATGTATCAGATGACAGAACTTTCTTTTTCCAAACAGGCAAATGGTTTAACTATGGAATTATCTTCCTTGTTTTAATCTTGGATCTGAATATGTGGAAGAACCAAATATTTTACAAACCTCATGAATATGGTCAATATATCGGTCCTGGACAGAAGATCTACACAGTGAAGGACTCAGAAAGCTTGAAAGACCTTAACAGAACTAAGTTATCTTGGGAGTGGAGATCCAATAACACTAATCCGTTGACCAACCGGACCTATGCTGAAGGAGACATGTTCTTGCACAGCAGATTCACAGGCTCTAGCCTTGATGTCAAATGCCTGGCTTTTATTCCAAGTTTGTTGGCTTTTGCTTTGTTTGGTTTCTTTATCTGGTTCTTTGGGCGATTTCAGAAAACTGACCAAGGCATGGAGAATTTAGACAAATCATACACAAGAATGAAACGAAAGTCACCATCAGATATGGGAATGACACGAGAAAATACACAGGTGTTAGTAGAAGAACCATTAAGTTTTCAAGAACCACATCTCGTATCCATAAAGTCAGACTTAAGTGAAATAGTTTTTAATTCTTCTCTCCTTACTTCTGAAAACTTGAACGCACAACTGAATGAACAAGATAGCCCTTTACAGCCAGTACCAGAGTCCTCTGTCCCTAAGAGCAATCCTGTGACATAGAGGCAAATACCCAGGAAAATCAATTTAAATAAGCAGTTGCTATAAGATTTCAGTTTTACTTTTTGTAAGTTAAGATTTACATAGTGTTTAGAATAAGAAACTCAACCTATACCAGAAGGTGCTCAGCATGCTTTTTCTAGGAATTTTGGGTTTTATTTGTATTATAGTATGTGCCTACTGTATATCTAACATTCCTTTATAGATTGCTTCCCAAAATTGCTATTTATTAATACATTACTTTAACTGTATAATAGTGTATTAGATCATTACTTGCAGGTATAAAATTCTACCGTGGTGGTGCCTTGAGACATTAAACTGTTTTTTAACTCAACACCAGATGTATAGCACAGTTCTTCTAATCTCTTTTGCAAAGCTTTTTGTATATGGTTATTTCAAGTATCATTTGATGACTTGATAGAGGACATAAATATAGTTATTCCTAAAGAACGGTTTCTGTTAGGACATCACAATTTGACTTTGGTATTTACTCATTTGTGAAGCCAGTGACTTTGATGACCTGACTGCAGAGAAGCATGTTGATTACCTTTTAATTTTTACTGGCTAGCTGCGAAACACGAATACAGATTCATTATGCAGTAAACAGCAGCGTGATAATACAGCATGGGTCACTACTTGTGAAAATATGACTTTCTCCATCAGTAATAGCAATTAGGTGATAATGCCTAATTATATTTTTCCTAATTAAAGATAAACTGCTACTTGATTAAAAGTTTTACCCTTCACCTTTTAGAAACAGAGGTGAAAATGCATGGTCAAAGCAACTCTTTCCATCATCACACCAAACTTATGCAACATCAAAGAGCCAATGGAGTGATTACAGTAAAGGACAAAAAGCCCATTAAATCCAGTATTTGTGTAGTTCAGTGCAGATATGGTCTGGCCATATGTGAAACATGCATAGAAGCACACCACATATAGAAAGTCAAACTTCTCCAAATACTGAAGAAACGTTTAGGGGTTTTAATTAAAATAGTTTAATCACGGAATTTTATTTTTCCCTTTTTTCCCCTTCATTCATTATCCATGAATAAGTGTAATCTGAAACAGAAACAGAGAAACTAGGTTTTGCTTTCTTAAAGGGGTCTTTGTAATGTGAATTCTTCTGCTGTATGATCAAACTATATGCATTAGAGAAACTGCCTATCTAAAACATCAGTAAGACTCTGATTTGTCTCTAATTTATTTCTATAAATTGTTGTTACGAGTTACTAAATAATAAGTCATTTTTAAGTCTAAATTATTTCCCTGTCATTTACTGGTGTTGCTGTATTATGTCTTTGTGACTTTTTTATCTCATCTGTTTTGATCTATCTGCTTTTAAGTTTTTGGAATGCCGAATTTAGCATGCATAATAGAACTATGCATTTGTTAACTGTCACTTGAGAGCCGATTTTAATAAACATCATTCAACAATTTTTTATCATGAGGCAGGAACATATTCTGTTAGTTTTGCAATATTTTTAAACATTTTACCCATGCATTGTCCTATTTGAAATCATAAATATTTCTAACACTAAAAAAGACAGGCAGTATCACAGTAATGTCAAAATCAAATATTTTTCCTATGGAACATTTGATATTTCATCAGCAGAAAGTTCATTTATAATCAGACTAAATTTTTATCCATTAAAAATTATGACTAAAAATAAATCTATTAGCTTTTGTCTACTGCAGCCTATTTAATTGACTTAAGATATAGTCAAAGCCAAGGCATTAATTACTAATGGTAAAATGCTGTGAGATCGTGCTTTTACTGTATAAGAGGTGACTATATTGATGTTTGACTTTCAAACAGCATTTGATTTCTTAAGTAGTTACAGAAATAGCTGATTAATTTTGCAGATACATGCTTCTCTGTATGTCTTGGACACTGTAAACCCAAGTATTGAAAATCTACCGTTAACTCATTTCTCCTTTCTGTGCATAGGAGTGGTTAAATCCATTAACATGTAGGCAGAAAATGAAAGAATTACTTGAGCCTTACAGCCTGCATGATTACATGACTCTGAGAAAACTGTTATTAAGCAACTGATCCGCAGCTAAAATAATTCTGTGACCTCACATTGAGTTAATGCTTTTAAGGTCATTATAAGCCTGCATGAAAGAGAGAAAAGCATCAAATAATCCTAGATTTTGCATGAGTATTTAAATTAATGGTCAAGCAGAGAGACTGTTTATATCATATATTCAGAAGAAGTTAAAAGATAGCCACTCACCATGGTCAACTCATCAATTTAATTAAAGGAGGAAGGACTCCTCAGTCGTGTGGGAGTCTTATTTGTAAACACAGATGCAGAGGGGAGAAGGGAGGAGTATTTCCACTCTCCACTTTCAGTGTCAACTTTGAGAAACCTCAGGTGGCCAGGCTTACTCTCAGCTCCTTCTGAAGCAGGCAGAGACTTGGGAGCTGAACACCCTAAAGGTATTTCTGTACCTAACTTAGTCATTTATCTCTGCATTAGTCAGTAGTGCAACTCAGCAGGAATGGGTTTGTGTAGTGAAACAGTTGGTGCTGAGGACCCAGTGCCCACATTTTGTGCTTTTCAGGGTTTTACTTCGGTTTAGCTCTTATCTGATCCTTATAAACTGAATGCATGGTAGTGGCTGGAGGAGGTTTCAGGCAAATCTCGTACATGTGCAGAGGCGATGCAGTTTGAATTAGGGGAGAATAAGTGGGCACAATCTAAATGGAGTTCCTGAGCTGAGCTACTAATGCAGAGTCATTCTCATCTTCTCCTGAACGAACTTGCCTTCCTCCATCGAGTGTGGAAGGGTCCATGGGAGACTGGGGGGCTAAGTAGGAGGCCTAGAATTAGTTACTCAAAATGAAAATATTCCTCATCTAGGCACATTTATTGTTTTCAACTGAAGTTCATTATTAATATTCTGAAACGCTTTCTAGGCTAGTACCCATCACTGGGACCTTGATATGGATGATTGACCTTTTCCTGAAAGCCTAACTATTACACAATTTTTTTTTGTAATTTTTTCTTTTCCTAAAGAAGTTGAAGAATCCATAGAAGGGAAGAAGCTCGAGCAAGTGTCAGTTTCTTTGCACACATCTAGCAGCTGCCATCACTACAGGACTGGCCTGTGTCTGCTTTGTCAGAGTTCAGATTTGGTGCAATAGTTCTTTTTTTACCATAGATACACTGTGCAGTGATGGATGATAGATACTGCCTAAAATAGCATACATAGAAGAGACATCTCTAGGATAAGCACATAAGATCTATGAGCCCACAGGTGCCTATAAATTGCCATAGCATCCTCAACAATTACCTTTGCTGAAATGACATGAAGCAAATAGAAGGTAAAAATGTTTGTAGAAAATATGAAAATGTATATTTATGTCTAAAATCCAATTGTATAAGACATGTATATGTATGTATGTATGGAGCCTAGGGATTAGTTGATTCTGTTGGGGGAAACTGCTGAGTCTCTTAAGCAGACAATTTACTACTGCCCTCTTTAGTCTAGATTACTCCATGAGTTACTTAATCCATGTTGCTTCATCTCCTCTGCCTTTACTTCCATTGCCTAGAAAATATAAATCCCAAAAAGAATATTTATTATAATTGCATTAACTTCTTCCCCAAATAATGTTTTTGTCTAATTTATTCAGAAAGCATATTTGTTCTAAAAGATTTCTGTCCTCTCCAGCTAGTATCGTCATAGTCTGGACTACTGCACTGTATTACATTATCTGTTAAATTATTGCTTTTCCTGTGGTGAATAGCCTCCATCATGATAACCACCTGGAAGTAAAGAGCAGAGACCTCTCAAAGACTGGAAAGGCAGCAATTCAGGTACTTACTAGGCTGGCAAGCTCATTTTCCCACAAGTGAATAGGTTATGACTCACTAGTAAAAGATGTAACAGATTTTTAATACACTGTCCTTAATTTTAACAACCTCCTAGGAGGGGCTCAGTGGGAGAGGACTTTTTATCTCAGGCCATAAAGTTGAAGTAGTTATGGTCCTGCAAGCAGAGTGTTTCAGCTTTTTAGGTTACATTTAAAAGTAACCAGCTTAAACTTTGAACAGATAACAAGAACCATAAAATTAGACAGACCAAACTGTGAATAAGAGCATGGAGCTGATTCACTTGCAGCTGTCTGATGCAGGATATAGACAAAACATTTATCAGATGTTAAACTGACCCTGTGATTGAAATTATGGACAGTGACATGCAAAGATTCAAACTCGATGTTTTAACAAACAGTTGCAGTCCCTTTATCAGCAGAGATGCCACTGTAGGCACCACCAGACAGACCAGCTCTTCTGCCATACTGTCTCTCTCCTGTCCATCCATTCTAAGTTGCAAATAACAAAGGGGTTGTTCATTTCCCCATGCACTTAAAACTGTCCTGTGGGGAGCCTGGGCTCCCTGAATGTGATGTGGCATGTCACTGTGGTGCCTAATACACAAACTCCCAAGTAGGACAACCAAGGGCAGGCAAAAGGAGGAAGTCCCTGTGAGTTCCACAGCCGTGCGTTGAAGAAGAATGGCTTATGTGACCATTTCAGAAGCAAATCAATATAAATGGAAGTCCTATTTTATAGGAACATGAGAGGACAAATTAAGAGACAGCAAATCACTAGAGATCCTTTCCATACCTTTCAGATATTCAAACAGAAGCATCAAGTTCCTATTCGCAAATGCTCACAAACAATTCTCGACTTTCTGGGTGAGTAGCTCTTCTGGGTGACTAGGTTTTAACACCATCTTATTTCCCTCCTAAAACTTCCTCTACACAGGGGATATCAGCAGCTTTTCACTGTTTGGGGGAAGGGGGTAGTTTTCTGAATGAGAAGTAGGGAAGAAACTTATGAAGGAGAAACCCTATGAGGCTGTTCTCTTCACAGCAGACTCCTTATTGGAGAAAGAAAAAGCATGAATCCAGCTGTTTTGTAAGGAGGAGTGAAGTAGCATCAAATTCTTTCAGAAATATATGTTACAGCAGCAGCATAGTCACAGAGATACTTCTAATCTCATGCTTCTCCTTTGATGTGTAGTAATTGGGGTCTGCAGAAGATCATCTTATCTGATTCTTGCAGGCAGGTTATAGATCTGGGTCTCATGCTGCTTTGTGACATCTGGGGCACTTCTCTGCATATTGAATTTGTTCTACTCTTCCTTTTTTTTTTTTTTTTTTTTTTTTTTTAAAGCCTGTTTCACTCTTCTGTTTTTATTTCCAACAAATTTTTATTGTTAGTGACCTAAACCACAAATCACCCACCAAAGGCCCATAATTGCTGTTATTGATGCAGTACCATCTGCACACAGTCTCTGCCCAGCCAAGAAGATTCTGCCAAAGCAGCAACAGGTACCAGGGCTCGATCACAATCTAGGGACAGACCTAGTGTGAACATGGTTCATTACAATACTATATGGTACACCCAGAAAGGCTTTGGGTCCTTCTAACCAGTTCCCTCCATGCAACATTACAAACGAATGTTTACAGACAGTTATTTTATGACTCGATGTATTTATTCAAGAAGACACGTAACTCCTACTTCTTTAAAACAACGAGAATCCTGTCTCTCCTGTTGCAAGTAATCTGCCTGCTCTCAGCTACATTTGAAGGAGATATGAGCCACGTAAACATAATAGATGCTTTCCTCAAGTCTGCCTTCATTCTAGCTCTTCCTTCCCTGCGGACAAAGGGCTTTCAGCCTGCTCAGTGTGTCCTGTCTGGCATAGCGTCAAGGCTGAGGATTTTAAGAAAGAGTAGGCTCCTTTCTTCTCTTCAGACAGACAAGTACTGTTGGTTGTGGCTGGCTGTGGTGTAATTTCTTTCTATTGTCAGGGAAATGAGAAAGACAAGCAGAAAGGAGTCGTAGTAGCCAAAACTGAAATGCAGTATTTGTTTCTAAAAAGTCAATGCTGTCTGCTTGTTTGCTCCCTGCATTTTGCCATCTTTCCGAGAGGCAGTTTGAGATGGATCAGAATATTTCCTCAGCTATCAACCACTTTTTTTTTTTTTTTTTGTGGTTTCTTTTTCCCACTGGACCCTTTCCTGGCTGTCCCCACTTTTTAGAACTCTTTGTTTCTCGACATCCTCAGAATCATTCTGCAGTTTCCATTCAGGCTCTTCCTTTACTCTCTGCTTACCGCCCCTTCACTTTCATAGGTTCATAGGATAATTCAGGTTGGAAGGGGTTTCTAGCCAAGCTCTTGCACAAATCCAGTCAGCTCTGACCTCAAACCAGGTTGCTCAGGTCTTGAAAATATACAAGGATGGAGACTGCACAACCCCCCTGAGCAACTTGTTCCAAAACCTTCTCAGTATTGCTGTATAAATGTTGCCACTGGTAGAAATCTTCAAAAGAGATTCCCAGTAGTAGTAAGTGGGAATGATCAAACTGTGTGAAAACCATGACAAGTGACACAGAGTGAAGCCAAAGCTATCAAGATGTATGCATGACTCTGGTCAGGTACACTCTGCCCTGTGGGAGTGAATTTATGCCAGGTCTCACTAAATGCAACACAGGCATAACTGAAAGCAAAAAATGGCATGCAATCATTGAAGAAAATCAAGACAGTTTCT